CGAACGCACCAATGCCGAAGTTTTCCACGCGTTATTTATTTTTCTATCGGCAAAATTACTCGCACCGATCTTAATCTAGAACCAGTAAATGACTTGGGGGTACTGAGTATCCCAACTAAATTATCAAATACTCTAGCGTACCCTTACTATTTTTTCAAAAAAAGGACGCGTAAAACGGTAAGTTTAGTTTTTACAAAATTACAAAAAGTAAATATTTTTATGAAAATAAATCTGTACCTAAGCAAATATTAGTTTTTGGTACAACGATACATAATAATTTATAATAATCAAACATCAACAATGATCATTTTTGTTGGTACACACAATCACGTATCTATCGCTCAAGTATGTGGACTGGATTTAAAAAATTCATGCTCCTCACATACAAGGACAACTGTTTGTGGCATGCTCGCGCGTCAGAAAACTTTCTGACTTATTTGTGTGCGCACCAGGTACGTAAACAGAAAATATTCACAAGGTGGGCCCCCCTCCTTCCCGACTTTTTTATATTATAAAAAGGTAGTTATTAGCGTATCATTACTACAAATATATAAGTATATAACCTAATAATACCATATTTTATCATTTTACTTTTCTCTTGGTAATTTCAGTTATCTTTTGGCACATCCACTGAGAGGTGCCATTTTAAAATTAATTTAAATATTAAATATATAAGATAAAATGTATAAATACTATAAATTGTACAAATATTAAAGCAGATGACATTAGCATAAGTGCGGTGTGCGCTGAATGTGAATGTAAGTGTCCAACCGGCGACCATAATATAATTCTATATTTCTATATGAATCAATATAATGACAATACCCTAGCTCATAGGTTCCCAAAGTGTGCGCCGCCATTGATTAAATATACAGTACAATTAGACGTTTAATTAGTTCTAATAAATTTAAGCCAGGCTTAAATTCAAATATTTTAAAACAACTTACGTTAAAAGTCGGATCAATGTCAGATGAAGAAAAATATTGTACTCTAGTCTTTGACGAAATGAAAATTAAAAAGTTCTTAGAGTACTCCAAATATTTAGATGTCGTTGAAGGATATGAAGATTTGGGTACAAAAAGATGTAGTAACGCATTAGCTACTCAAGCTATGTTTTTTTTAATTAGAGGCATGTATTCTAGCTGGAAAATGCCTGTTTCATATTTTCTTTCAGCTACATCAATGAAAGCAACTACTTTAAGTAAGCTGATTGTTGATCATGTACAACAATTAATGAACTGTGGGTTAAAAGTTAGAGCTATAGTATGTGATCAAGGCCCGAATAACAGGTCTGCTTTTAACAAACTTAATCTAACAAAAGAGAAACCATGGTTTATAGTTAATAATATAAAAATTTTTGCCATATATGACGTACCACATCTTTTTAAAAATTTAAGAAATAATTTATTATCAAGCGATATAATTTGTTTAGATAATAAAGTTTCATTTTCGGACATCAAACAAACATATTTAATTGATAAACAAAGTACTTCAAGTCGAGCTCTTCTTAAAATAACGGACAGTCATATTAATCCCGGGCCATTTCAAAAAATGAGCTGTAAACTGGCTTTACAAATATTTAGCAATACAATGAATGCAGCAATTAAAACTTGTATAAAAATTGGCGAACTTAAATCATCTTCAGCATTGTTTACTGCTGAGTTAATTACATTTGTTAATAATCTTTTTGACTGTTTAAATAGTCGATCATTGTACAGTTCAAATCCTTACATGTGTGCAATATCAAAAGAGAGACCTAAACAACTCGAATTTTTAGAAAGTGCAAAAACATGGTGCCAAAGTCTAAAAAAATGCAGTGGCCATTCTAGACCATACAGTTTTGACGGATTATAATTGACAATTAACGCGGTCATTAATATTTATGAAGAACAATCAAAATTAGGTTTTAAATACTTGTTAACGGCGCAATTAAATCAAGATGTAATTGAAAATACATTTTCCGTTTTTCACCAAAGAGGTGGTTATAATACAAACCCTACAGCAAAGGCATTTACAACTACTTTTAATATGTTATCTAATATACAATTGATGAAACCATCTGCATTGTCAAATTGTGAAGCAGATGACGATCGTAATGTTATGTTTGAGTTTGATACAAATACAATTATCAGACCAACTGATGACTCTACCGTTAATGAAGAAGACGAACAATCCGACTCTAGTCTTTCTTCTTCTTCAATATCACCACTGGCTAAAAGAAATGAAAATTTAGTTAAGCCTATCGTGACTCTTTCTGTTTGCTCAGATAGTTATTTTAGTGGTTACTTAGGAAAAAAATGTTATAAAAAATTTAATTGTGTTGATTGTCAAAATTTAATGTTAACTTTAGACCCAGTAAACTATAATAAACAAACGGACTATTTAATATTTTGTAAAAACTACGACATAAAATCAGAAAATTTTTATTTAAAAAAACCAACCGATAATTTTAGAAAATTCATTACAGAGTGTCAATTAATATTAGGTAATATAGTAGCTGAAAAACCATTTATGAATAAAATCGGAAAAACTATTGAAAGAATAATTTACAAAAAACTAGTTCCATCTTATTTTAATTTCAAAACTGAATGTCAACCTCATCTAGAGTTCATTATTTTACATTTGATCAACTGTAAATTGCTTAGAGATTTTAATTGGAAGTCTAAAAATAATAAAAATCAAACAGTTGCTAAACTTAAGATTTTAAAGAATGTTTGATCCTCATTTCTCTAATTTGTGTATCAACTGATTATTAGATACCTAACTACCTACCTATTATTATGTAACATTATTTTGGAAGTTTTTTAATTCCTTTTTTTATGTTTTTTTAGTGTTTTATTATTATTATTTACAGGTTATCATTAAACTAAACATTATCTATACTATACTTTTATTTAAAATTTTTACTGTCTTAAATTTATAATTTATTATCAAGAATTTAGATCTGTTCCAACATGTGTTTACTTTTGTTTTAATTTTTGATTATAAAATAATGTATCTATATGTTTGTTAATTTGTAAAAGTGTAAAACCACAGTCTTTTTAAAATTTATTATCAATAATTTTAGATGGATATATAAGTTTTTAAGTTGTTTTGTTTAAAATAAAAATATTTTGCTAGATCCTAAATCAATTGTGGTACCTATATTTTCATTAATGAAATATAAAATAACTACGATGCGTGTATTCTCATTGATTAAATATAAAATAAATCAATAATATTCCTTAGTGTGCTTGAGTTGCTTCTGAAAAATTATTATTTGAAAAAAATAATTATTTTACTTTAAATTAACATTTTAAACTTAACTTTATTTAGCAATCATCATAGTAGTGCCATGAGTAAACCATAATATTCGAAAATAAAATAACATTATATGATTAGCCATTCAGATTTAGCATTGATTACATGTATATTCAATCAATGGAATTTGTAAATAATAATATTCAATTTAATTTATATTCTTGGAATTCTTCTTATCGCGGTTTATTTTTATTCTACCGGTTTGTGTATTGTGTACAATTTAGAATTTACCAACGCTATCTATTGTCACATAATCCGTACTAATTTACGTGTTTCCATATTGCGTATAGCTATGGGCTATCTATATATATTTAATGTATATTTAAATTTAATGTATGTATAAGGGCGCCGCGCCGTCATGAAATACTATCGGGTCTAACATTTTTCTTATGATTAGTCATGCTATGACTTAGAGAAGGGCGCCCTGAAAAAACCTTAGATCAAAAAGGGTGCCTTGAGTCAAGAAACTGCCTAAGATCAAAGTATTTTATAGACATACAAGTATACAGTAGTCACTGTCTAGATAAGAACAACATAACATTGTAGTATAGTACCGATATTTAGCTATAAATAGCAATTATTTCCTAATCGATCGTTTAAATTTAGTTACAATTTACATTATTTATATTAGGTTATAATTAAAACTCGATGTATTTGGTTTTATTTGCGTCATATTTAGGCAATATTAAAAATTTGGTGAAAATTAAAAACCATCATATAATAATGGGCCCCTCTGAATACTTTAAGTGGGCCGGCCTAAGGCCGGACACATATTAAGGTGGGCCAGGTACACCCTAGTTCTCTCTTAACTACGTGCCTGGTGCGCACCAGAAGGAGAACAAAAAATATTGTGTATCCAAATGCACTTCAATAAATATCATTCAATTAAATACTTGAACTGTCAGATTTTTCTCGATAAAACGAATAAAATGACAATAATAAACTAAATTGAATATCGTTGAAAGATTATTACGTGATATATTTTAACCGTTATCTATCTATATGTATAAAAATATACTGCTAGCATAATCAAAAATAACAAATTTAACAGTTTTGAGGTAGGATTTTTAATAGGCTACTAAAATGCACGGGTTCAGTTAGTAAATACATAAATATATAGAAAATATAAAAATACATAAAATGTATGAAAATTATAAAACCATGTATAATATAATAGAGTACATATTGCATTACTCATTAGTTATTATACATATTATGATTAATAGTTTTATTGCTCTCTATAATATCACAAAATTATGGTTTTCATATCTTAGAATTAATTAAAATCAGTTAAAATGTTCTTTTTTTTCAATGAAATCTTTTCAAGACATTGAATAAACTAACCCTAACTTAGAGGGAAAATGTCCACTATAATTTACATATAATGTTTAAAGGAAGACAGCTTTCAAAATTTAATCATTCATAAAAATAATATTTTAGAATTTAAAAAAATAATAACTCATTAATTATTAGTATTCTAAAATTAAAGTCATTTAATAATAGTTATAAAATAAATACATAACAAATAGAATATTAACTATTTATTTATAAACACTGACCCAAGTACAATATAACAGTATAAATTATTTATATATAATAAAAGCAGGAATAAAATATAAAATATATAACTGTATACAGTATAAATGTAAATAAATTCAAATATAAAAACTATTTTTATAAGAATATACAATGTAAAAAAAATTGTTTAGCACTTAGACAATGAAATGTAATTAGTCCTTCATAAAAAAATAGGTATAAATTGTATTTTATCAATTTATTTATGATGATAGTTTTCGAATCATACCTACATAAACAATTTCAATCAATTAACACAATAATTGAAAATACAGTACGCATAGTTACTTAGTTTCTATACTACTTTTCACCATTAATCAAATTTTATAGGATATAAATTATGTCTTCCTGCGTTATAATTACACAAATTTGTTAAAATACTGATAAGTCTAATATCAGTCTCATTCAATTTTGATATCAATTTTGGATTTTCAGCAGTTCTTACAATTAAATCATCAATTGCTGGCCTCAAAGCAACAATAGCAGCAGCAACTTTCACATCCATTCTTAAATAAATCCTATGAATAAAATTATTTCTATTATATATTTTACCACATTGTATTACAATAACAATAGATAATATATTTATTAATTACAAACCAATCATCCAATACAACTAAACTGTCCATATATTCAACTTTACGAGCCCCAAATAATAAAAGATGTATAGGAGTCACCATAGTTGAATGCATACACATTACATTTACCTAAATTTAATATAAAATATTTAGTTAAACAAATAAAAATTTAAATCAATAATATTTCATTTAACTAGTTGATGCTTATTATCATTAAAAGCTTACTTGTTCTTCAAATACAAAAAATGGAGATTGAAATTTATCCGCCAATTTTTGGTTTTTAAATTTAGGACTATTAACAGAATGTCTACTTACAACAGCAAAATCTTTAGACCTTATATTTACCTAAGTACAATTAAAATAAATAAAAAATAATTAAATTCAATAAATAAAATTAGTTAAAAAACAATAAAATGTAAAAAAAAACGGTTATGAATGCATCAAGTTACTGTTAATTCTAGAGTCTGGACAAAAGTAATTTAACATATTACCCACTCTAATCTCGGTTCAATATATAAAATAAAGTAACTGTAAAATATAAATTGTCTAAAAAAAAAATTGACTGAAATATAATATTATTTGAGTGAGAATTAAAATTTAAAAAATCAAACTAAAATTTAAATGCTTACTGAAGATAAACATACATCCAAAATTTTCTTTTTAACTCGGATATGTTAAATTTTGGAAAATTAACATGACAATTTAACTATAAGCATATTACTTGATTATTTAGTGTTATTGTTAATATCCAGTGCCGGATCTAGTATATTTTTTACCCGGGGCAAAGTATAAAATTAGCGCCCTTCCTCTTTGTTATGCCCACAATTATACTTATGTAATAGTTAAACTCTTAAGAAAAAAAAATCGAAGAGAATAAAAGAAAAAATATATCTATTTGCTAGATTAGAAAAAATAAGTATTAAATAAAAAACTTTAAATACAAATTAATACAAACTAATACATGAAAATAATCATTATACAATAATCAAACAAATTATCATTAAATTTTGATTTTTCTTGCTTTTCTAGCGGCAAAATCGTTAATTATATCATCATAATCTAAATTTTTGGCAATTTGATTTTTGATTGAAATAATTGAATTTGATAGTTATTACATGTAGAAGAAAAATTAATTTATCAGTATTGTTAATCGGGTTTTAACATCATGTGTTGTCTGATTATCGTAATTTATAGTTTGTAGATATCCTACTAACAATAAAATATACTACAATGAGTTATAGAAAATATATTTAGTAGACAATTAATATCCATTGGGTTTTTGAGTTTTTCCTATTGTTATTATAACCATAAAGTCAAATGGAAATAGAAATTGTAATTTGTATACTTTTATTTAATACTTTTATCATAAAATGAATAAAAACTATTAATAAATATACACAACTTATTTTGTAATTTGGCTCCCCCCGACCAAAACTTCCGTGGTAAATGCCCCTGTTCGCCCCCCCCTAGATCCGACCCTGTTAATATCATTCTACTTAATAACATACAAAATCTAGAAAAATAAAATCCACCAGTATCTATAAAATGAACTAACAAAAATAATTTAGCATAATTTTTGGCATTATACTGCATTATTTTTTTTTTTTCTTGCATCTTGAATATTATGGATATTGTAACCACGATTTAATTTAAATTTTTAAATTAATAAAGAATGATCATTTTTTATTACACAGAATAATTATAATTTATAAATGAATTAATAAATAATTAACTAATATTCAATAGACTGAATTCTGCACATTGAAATTATTCAGTACTCTTAATATTATAATTCAACATACATAATATGTATGAATAGAAATAGCATTTATGGTTTAAATGCAGTTGGTTTTAAAACTTAGTATGTGCAGACATTGTACACCAATCATTAACTTTAAATTCAAACCGCTCGAAATATTTTATAATTATCAATACCATGACAAAAAAAACGTAGAATGTTCTATGATCGTTGAGTATTTAATGAATCATGGATTTATGCTTTTTATCGAAAATAACGGTAAACTGTTACAGTGGCGTATCTACGGGGCTGCAGCTCCCCCCACCACCGAAATGTTAAGAAAATTATATTAATGTTCTATGAAAATTGCTAAAAAAGTAAAAATATTTAAAAATATTAGTATTAACACTTTACAACTATCCATCTGTGTTGGTAGGTATTTAATGCATATAATATTGTGGCATCGGTCGTGAATCGCGAATCACGAATTCAACTTCAGAGTCAAAACTGGTCGCACTCGCATTATTATCTCTATTCATAGAAATATTGAAATTTCAGATTATCGAATATTTGATACATTTGTTAACAGCGGAAAAATTAAAATTTTCATTTCAATTTTTTGTTATTTTTATTTCATCATATTATATTCATGTTTATTAAGTAGGGGTTTGTTTTATTATATCAAATTTTGGTCTATTATATTATGTCCTATTAAAAAAAAAATCATTGCTATTGTTATTATTTTTTTTTAATAAGTAATATGTGTAAAATAATTTATTTTATAATACTATAAAATACAATATCCAAAGTATTTAAAGTTTACAAGAGTATTATTAAATCAATATATGTTTAGGGTTATAGATACCAAAATCTAAAATATAACTTTGACATCCACATATTAGACTTGTGGTAGAATCTATCTAAATCACCGCTGTGTAAAAATTGATCAGCCCACCCGAAAAAAAATCCTGGCTACACCACTGAACTGTTATGCTTAATTTGTTAAAAAAATATTTTATCTGTATAATATGATGTTAAACGCCACTATGAGACAGAGCATAAATTATTACTGCTTTTAGTAGCACTTATCGATGTGAATAGCCATATCAGTAGTTAAATATCAGTTTTAAAAATATCAACATCCAATATGAAAGCGAATATCAATGAAATAGCCGAAAAAATTCAACATCAAAAATCACATTTAAATCTTGAAATTGTTTATTTAAAAATATTTATACACTCAAGAATTAATTAATATATATATATTTTTTAATTTTTTTAATTTTCTCTACTTATGTATTTTATTCAAATCTAGTTAATAAAGACAACCTCGAAATGTAAAACTCATAATATGAATGTAGCTAGGTATCCATAAATATATAAGTATTATATGTTAAACTTGTATTTTCAATAACGTTTTTTTTTAATTTTGTATACGGCCCTCAATGAAAATCTGATAAAAAAAATATGGCCCACGTAAGTAATAAGGTTGCTGACCCCTGGTTTGGTTGATAAAGTGGAATTGCTGCAAAGCATAGTTTTCACTTCAAACCTTGGCTCAACTAGTTTTTCCACTCTGAGAAAGCAATTTATCTAAAGCAGTAGTCTAAAACATATAGCCCATGAACTCACCCTCTTTGAATGTGGCTCACAGTAAAAATTTGTTTAGTAAAAAATTCATTTTTGTTGTATAATTATTAATAAATAAAGTTTGGATCTAGCGAGGTCTGGTATAGAGAAAGAGAAAGACAATCGATTATCTCAACTTTTCAAATTAGTGCATGATAAAAATTTAAATAATTCATCAATTTCTAAACTTTGGCAATCTAACTAGGTATTAATCTATTTACAGTCATATTAAGTCATACAAAACAAGAAATAAATAATATAATGCAATTACCTTACGGTTTTCCTTGTAGGAATATATATTAGGATAAAATGCCATTGTGAGAAGTGCAGGTATCAAATCTAATTGAGGCTCTACAACTCCAGTCTTACCGAAATCAAAATCTTGCATTTCAAAACAAGATTTAGGAAAACCAAAACTCATAAATATTTTTATAATTTGATTCTAGAAAAAAAAAATCATTGAAATTAATTATACATAAAGATAAAACTATTTGAATTGCTTACTTTAATATTGTTGGTGGTTATTAACCCAGAATTAGATAAACCAAATTCTTCTAAAATATCATTGTCATTTGAGATACAGTAATCATTTGATGAATTCCATTGCATAAAGGCATTTAAAAAAACCAATTGATCTGAACAGCGATTAGCAGAAAAATTATTCTTCATTGTATGTTGATCTAAAGAGTAGTTATATTGATTAAACAATCTGATGAGATAAGTCATAAGGTAAGTATCTATAAATTATAACACTATAATATATCATAGAATTATAAAAACAAATATAAGCTTAGATCTAAGCTCAGTTTAAAAACAATACTTCATGCCAACCTCATAATTTTTGATTCTCAAATAATTTTCAAATAATATATGTATTATTAGTAGCACCAGATCTAGAGGGAATATCTGAGGACTCATGCCCTGTCTGCTAATTACAGAGAAGCACAAGTTTCAAATTTTCAATGTGTATTTTTTGTTGTTTTGATTTTTTTCAAAAAAAAATTGAATCATTTGTGAAAAATATATTAATAAAAAATAATTTATTATATGTAGATATATTAGAGTTAGATGGGTTTACTCAACATCTAATCCATAATCTAATAATTGAAAATAAATTAATAAATTATTGTTTTCATGACATTTTGATTTAAATTCTTAAAAATGGTTTTCAAGATGTTTATTCCAACATAAATACAGCTATCAAATATTTCTTACTTTACCTATGTCATAGGCATCTTGTGAATGCAATGTTAATTAACTGAAACTTATTACATCATATTTAAGATTGACTATAAAAAAAAAAAGATTAAATAATCTGTCACTCATATCCATTGAGAAATTGTTAAATTTGTAAATTATGAAAACATCACAAACAAATTTGTTTCAAAAAGAGTAAGAAATTTATTAGTATAGTTTATTTGTAGTAGTTGTTTTATTGAATTACGATGACAGCTTAAGTTTAAACCAGGGCTTAAAACCGAATCTAGGACGTCTCCCCCCCCCCGTGCCTCCCCCCGATTAAATGGACGTTTCGCCCCCAAACAGGACAATTTCCCCCCGGACAAAAAATAAAAATATTAATAATATATAAAACAATAATATATGTTATTATATTATGTGGTATACAATAAAATTCTTAACTTTTTCACAAACTTATTTTAGTAAGATAGCTCACGGAAATTAAAAAAATTAAAATATTATCATTTGAAAAACTTTCACATAATTGTTTTAACCTATCGTCTGTTTCTAAATTATCACGAAAAGCTCCTGCTCTATAATTTAATATTTTTACTAATGCACTTGAGTTGCTCATCTGTAGAGCTTCAATAAAAAGCCAAATATTAGGATGATTAATTCTCACTAGTTTAGTAAATTTATTATTCCACCCTTCCGAAATATTGTTTGTTCTACCTATATCAGCTTTAGTTAAGTCAAACAAGTTCCATATAGAAGGCGGAAATAACGGTGGTTTTCTTGTAAGTATGTATTTTAAGTCTATGTCTTTTTTATTTCTATAACGATCGTTAACATAAGTTGTATCAAAGTACGTAAGAATTTGATCAGCATCTTGGTTATGAAATTTTTCATATAAAATTTCCATACCTAAAACACAACCACAATCTACATTTAACTATTTGTGAACCAAAAAAGTTATATTACCTCATAGGTATATTTACCTTTTTTGACAAATTGACTGGTAAAAATGCAAGACCAGTTATCATTGCAATATCTCGTTGAAATTGTTTGTCTTCTTTATATTTTTTGACTAGCCCACACTCTTGGATTTTGCGCCATACTGATTGACACAGGTGAAAATAGCAACAGTGAACTTTTACTTTTGGTAGTACTTTTTCAATTGCAAGAATGACAGCTTTTTCAAAGTCTATTGTTATTTGTACCACTTCACGTTTTGGACATTTTTCACAAATAATAGAAAGCATTTCGGTATAAGTTTGTTTTTGTTTTATTTTGAAGAAGTATATACACCAAAGGAATTGTTGTTGAGTCTATTTTACCATGAATAATATAAACTTGATTAAAGCCTGTAGGCGCAGTTGAAAATGTTCCATCCATGTACCAATACGTTGACGTTTTTAATATTTGCAGACTTTCAGGAGATAAAAAAATTATAATTCTATTTTCATTATTTTCATTGTCGTATAATAAAAATGGCTGAGGATTTTCACCTCCTGTTGTTGCCCATATACCAGTAACTTTCAACTCATATACTGGTCTAAGGGTGGATAAGATGCATTTTTAACTCTTCTTAAAAATCTTTTTTACGCTGTTTTCTGCAGACATTAACAATGTTGCTTCGTTAGATAAATTTATTACGGCTTTGGAAAATATAATAGAAGGGGGTTCAGAATTATTTTTTGCATTATTTTTTCATTGATGATAATGATTTTATTACCTCTACTTCAACTGGGCAGGCATTATGATTATGGTCAGTTTTAGAAACAATAACTTTAATGTTGACATCAGTTGTAATACTTCCTTAACAATTATTTTCATTGTTTTTTAGATTTTTTTACACAATTCCAACGTATACCCACTTTAACAAGTTTTTGTTTTACATATACGAAATCATCAAATATGATTTTTTTTACCACCTCTTTTAGTTTCTACTATTTCAATTTTGAAATACACAAGAATGAACAATTTACACGCTTCGCAAAATATCACGAACTATACTAAGAGACCTAAAGGCAATATATATTGTAAATAGTTTAGATAATTTGAGTTTGGTTTATCAATCATTACCCATTTAATTGGGTAATAAAAGTTATAACTCCATAACGTGAATGATTATATTCGATAGGTACTGATATGATGATCGTATATCTGGGGTAAAACCAAAGAACCAACTGTCTAACCTATAATTAAAAATTAAAATATTTTTTTTCGGGGGGGAACTGTCTCAGTCCGGGGGGAAACGTCCAATACCGCTAAAATCATCGTGGGGGGATGAAACGGGGGAAAACGTCCAAATACCCTTAAAACCGGTAAAAAACCGTAAATTTGGTTACCCAAAATCGATAACCGCTTTTAGTTTTGGAATGCTGGAAGCGTTATTTGTTATCGGAAATCAAGGTAAATTACTAAATATTAACATCAAAGTGATTACCTCGTATTTTCAATCCCGGTTTTATAACCAAAACTTATTCCCGAACAAAATAGTTAACAGTTTTTTCGTGGTATTAATACTTGAATTATGTCATGACTATATTATACTATTATAGTTGAATTTAATTTTCCTGCTATTTTTAAATATTTTTTTATAATTAATTAGCCCCAATTAATGGCTGTCGAGTATTGCTTATCTGTTGTGAATATTATATATATATAGGTATAACTATACCTTATAAATACCGTCATAAACGTCGTTGTTGTGGTACGCTGATTCCTATTAAATAGTTGGTAGAATAGAGGCTTAGTCCATTTAGTATTAATATTTTAATACTGTTGTTTTCATATCTGCTCATCCATTTTTTCGAGTACTGCATTATATACAATATAACCAAAAAGTTCTGTGGCAATGTATCAATCTAAGTGTCATCGTAGGAAATTATTATATAATAAATTTCGGTAATTTACCGTTATAAATAAGAAAATTATAATACATTTTTTTATGCAATTTAGTTTTTTGATTATCATTGTCTTGATCATAATATGTTTTAAACTTTAAAGCAGTTTGAAAAAATAAATATAGAAATTGAGTGAAATCGACCAAATTAAAGCATATTAAGTTTTTGATTTTATAATAATAAAATTTGTATTATCAACCCACGAGTCGCCTAAATAAACGATTTTAAAAATGATCAAAAAATTGAAAAATGTGATTTTTAAAAACCGGTTTTAACCGGTAAACGACTCCCAAAAAACCTTATCATCGGCTTTTAAACGATTAACGGTTATTATGGTTTTTGAAATATCCTTAGAAACGGTTACCGGTTACTATAATATCGAAATTAAACGATAACCGATTACCGGTTTTAAAAAATTTTCTGCTCCTACCGGAGCCGATTACCAACTTTATTAGGAACAGTTTTAATCCCTGGTTTAAACCTACTATCAGTTTTTAGTTTTTTAAAAGAAAATTAATATTTTAATAAAATATGAATGTAAGTCTTTATTTAGTGCGATTGTGAGAGTATTGAATTCAACTTATTATGTATATATACTTTGAGATTACCTATAATAATCTCATTTCAGGTGAATTATTAATTGGTAACTTTTAGGGACACTAATATTACCCTGGGTAACATAATTTGTAGATCCGGCACTGATTATTAGATAGTTAACGTTTTTCTCTCCAATACAATATTAAAGTTAAGGCCACTCTAAGAAATGTTTTAATTTTAACTAACTCTTAACGATAATTTTATTGCTGATTTCTCTTAACTCATTATACATTAATAGCCAATGACAAGATCATTCTATCCACTAATGAAACTGTGCACCATTTAAAACACCACACAAACCTCATCATAAGGTAGAAAAAAAATGTTGATAAAAATCAATGAGTGCAAGTTAGCTCATATTCTTTGTCTTCTATTGAGACAAATGAGTAAAATAATGTAACCATTTCAAAAAATGACCTATACCGTATTCTACACCATTAAATCTTTTAAAATCCAAATTCTATTTCACAGTGCAAATTGTTTGAGAACGTTCAACATTTTTTACCTCAAAATTGACTCGTTTGCACACAACGAATCCCGCTGTTAAACTAAAAATGGCCGACTCATTTGCGCACGATATAAACAATGCGTAAATAAATATTTTGTATTTTTAAATTTTGACTTACCTTACCAAAAGCAATTGAATTATCGGTATAAATTATCAATCTGTATTCTATATCAATATTAGGGCTTATGAACCTATTAATATCCTGACTACTAGCAAGACCGTAACTGGGGGGGTCCAGGGGTCCGGACCCTTCCCCCCTCCCCGAAATTTTCAAAAGTAGAAACATTTTAGGGGTGAATATAGTTTATTAACTATAAATTGTATTAAATAATAATGTTAGACCCCCCGAAATTTTTTTCCAGTAACGACCTTGACTACTAGTGCTACAAATACATATAATGTTTTAAAATATCAATATTATCCTAAGAATTTATTATGTAAACTTGTATAAACTTTTCAAAAAAAGCAACAAATAAGTTTAAATAATCATATTTTTATAGATAAAATAAATCTATTACTCACCATCATAATCACCAATAAATATATCATATTTAGTAGATGAACCGGCTGCTATTGTACTTAAAGAATCACCAAGCATTAATATATTTCCCAAAATCATCATACGACCAAGTTGTGGCTCTAAAGGCAACTGTGCTAAAATATTACCAAGCGCTGTGAGTTCACCATTTCCATTAAGACATTTAATTTCTAAAATATAAAATAAAAAAAATAAATAGTAAATAATATGAAACATAACTAGAGGTATTTTTATCAACAAAAAAAAAAAAAAACATGTAACTACATAAAATAGTGAATTTGAAACAAAAATATGATTAATGTATCAATAAAAATATAAATATTTACCTTTTAGTACAGTTATAACATTCTTAATAGCTTCCTCAGGAGGTGGATCAATGGCCTTCTTCAAAAATGTATTAATATCTCCCAATTTTAACAATTTAATAGTTAAACCAATTTTACTTAGAGAACAATTAATTAATTCAGGTGAAATATTATCATTTAATTTATTAAACCGTTCCTAAAAATATATACAGAAACTTAGAACACAATAAATATATATTTCAAAAAATATTTATTAACAAATTATAATAAATTTAAACTATTAAGTATTACCTTTGAGTATAAATTAAAACATACACCCGCTTGGACACGACCAGCACGTCCTTTTCTTTGTTCTACATTAACTTTAGATGCCCAAACTGTATTCAATTTAGTAATATTATCAAAAAATTCAACTGTTTTTACCTTTCCATAATCAATAACAAACACAACATCATCAATAGTAACTGATGTTTCAGCTATATTCGTGGATAAAATAATCTAAAAGATAAAATGAATTTAAGTTAAAAGAATTTAAATTTGACAACAAAAATACAGTAAAAATAATAAATAATAAAAATGCTCATAATAATTTATTACCTACAAAATGAATTCAAATAAAATAATTAAAATAAAACATGTAGCAAATTTACTAAAAAAAAAAAAGTTAGTCTTAATTTATTAGAAATAGCCTTATTTATTTATTTATTTAACATGTTGGTAGATATGAGATTATTATAATTTACAATAATAATTCGGCTAATAAACTTAAACAAAGAGTTACATACATTTCTAGTGAATAAAATAAATATTTAAATAAAAATTCCAAAAATATCAAAAAATTATACTATTTAAATAATATATTTATATTTAATTATTAAAATAAAAGCTTACTCTAGTATCATAATATAAACCTGATTGAGAATATATACCAGTAAATAATTCTTTTATAAAAAAAGTATTATATAATAGTTATAATTATTAATAATTTACAATAATATAATAGTTATTAATAATATATAATACATGGGTCTATATAATCGTATATAGTAATATATAGTTTTATTAAAAAATTATTTAAGTATTATATAATAGTTGAAAAGGGGGAAGAGTTTAGAGGAAGAAGGTAAAAATGCCATTCTTACCTTCTTCCTCTAAACTCTTCCCCTTTTGCAACTTTCATATTGAAGAAGCTTTGTGCAACCTATACTATCTCATTTTCAAATTCCTATAACTTTATTTCTCTGGATTATCTTTATTCACTCATCTTCCCTAGGCGCCACCAGTCAACCAATATCAATGTTCACCTCAAATCTAGATCTCCTCCTGCCATACCCTTTATCCAGGGGTGTATACAAAGGGGGAATGTGGGGGTCAGATCCTCCCCCATAGGTCTTTTTAAAATTGTATAAAATAGTGTTCTTAATGTAAGGAAATTATAAGGAAACAAAAAAAAATAAAGGATTTATTGTAATTATTTCAACACATTCAATATATATATTTTTTATTATTTATCATTGAAATGTGCAACTACTTAGGTTTAGGAATTTTCCTTCCATAATAATTTTTTTGCAACTGATCCCCCCCCCCCCCCAATACAAAAGTTATGTAAATTCCACTGCCTTTATCGCCTCCATTAACCCAAGTTCTAGCTTCCTAATTCAAACAATAATGAATAATAATGGTTGCTCCTTTTTCCCACACTCTAAGACAATCCTAAAAACTGTCAATGCAATTGTTATGCTATAAATAAAGATACTTCAATAATAAAAAAATAAAAAAAATTATACAATTAAAACAAAACTCATAATATTTAGTATTAATATTTAGTATTATATTACTTTTCGTTTTCCATTAGGAGCAGACTTGAATACTTTATGTTGTTCAGCACGAGATAGTGTTGAGTGAAGAGGCAAAATAGAAAACTTTTTGGCTAGATTAAACACAAAATGTTAATTAAAATGTTAGGTTAAGTTAAAGTTATTTAAAAAGTTATAGTTAAAGTAATTTGGCAATAAATGTAACGAAAAAATAACCTCTTAAAAATGTTACTTCAGCAGTAATATTTAGAGCGAATGTATGAGTACAATATACAGGTTATGAATAATTTCCCATCTTAGGTTTCCCTAATAATTTCATTTTCCAATAGGATATTTTTCCAGTTCAATTCACATTTTATAATATATTTTGTATTATTTTTAGTTAACACAAATTCAATAAAATCACCCCTATAAGTATGACATTATTGGGAAGACATATAACATTTTTATTTTTGTTAGTTGTATCTCATCCAATCACATTATATAAAACCATATATAACTTATTGAGGTTCTTAAAAATAATCAAACTTTACAGAGGTAAAAATGTATCAGTTAATCATTACACAGTAATCACTAAGAAAAAAAGAAAATTACTGAAATGTAGCTGGAAAATATTGTACCTTCATACAACGAACATGATATATTAAAACATACTTAAGTGAAATCTAAAAATAATTTAGAATTTAAGATTAGATTTAGAAATATAAAAATAAATTTTCATATTTTTCATAATTAGATTAAGTATTTGTTTGTATTACAAAATAAAAACAAAAATATCAATTAAATACATGGAGTCCACAATCATGTAGGTAGTATTTGGTAAAAATATTATAAGACAGCAAATTTATTAACCAAAAATAATACCAAACTTACTATAAAATATGAATTTGACAGGAAAGTATTTTTTAAGTATATGTATAAGACAAGTAAATGGTGACGGATAAATATAAGATAGGGAATTGACCAAATACCCAATAAACAATTGTTTGCATCTATGGCATAAGCAAATCAAAGTAATATTATTTTAAATGATGGCTTAAAAAAATTAAATAATGTTAAACATTATATTATGTATAATAATTACCAATATTTATTGTTTTTTCTAAGTGTTCATTCAACTCCGAAATCCAAGCCCATCCAGGTAAAAATATTAAGATAGCACCTTTCATTTTTAATTTATTTTCAATATAAATTAACAAAGACTATAAGAATAATAACAGTTAGTTTTTTCTAAATTTTAAATAAATTTATACTTATTACTTCAACAATTTCTAGATGATGACTATCTTCATCAATTAGGGCAACTTTATTTCTTATATTTATAGGATAAGCCTTAGAAACCATCAAATTACAATTCACTTGTTTTTCATCAATTTTGTTTTTTTTTATTAGATTCTTTATTTTTGGTGTAAAATTTAGCATTTGCACAATATCTTCCAAAAAATATTCTACAAACCAATAAGTTTTTAAAAAAATTAACAATTTTTTTTTTCTATTTTTAAAATGCATACTAACCTTTCACAGGATAGCAACGTCCTTTTACATCAATGATTGGACAGTTGTTAAAATATTTACTAAATACTTTTAAATTAGCATTTGCAGACATAAGAATCACTCTCAAATCTGGATACTTCTGCACCATATTTTTTAAAATTATTAATAAGAATTCACTGTCTGCACGGCGTTCATGAATTTCATCAACAATTACATGTGATACCCCAATTAAGCCATTTTTCAATTTACGAATCAAAATTTCTAAATATAAATAAATAAATAAAAATTTTCAGAAAAACAATTTAAGAATTATTTACCAGTTGTGCAAAATAAAATAGCTCCAAACTTCCGAGGATTTATATTATCAAATCGAACAGCATATCCAACACTTTTTCCTAAATTTTCTGCTCTTTCATAAGCCACTCGTTGTGCAATTGAAATCGCTGATACCTTTCTTGGTTGTGTACAAATTATGTTACAATATGCTCCTTTTTTAGTGTGAATGTATTTATCAAGGATGAATTGACAGACCTAAATTTTCAAATATTTAAAAATTAAAAATCACAAGGAGTTAAATAAAACAAGAATATACAAACCTGAGTAGTTTTTCCACAACCAGTACCCCCATGAACAATAACTACAGAGTTATTTTTAATTATGTCCAAAATGTCATGCTTCTTATTAAATATAGGTAGATCTGCTCGGTCTTTAATTCTTTTCTGGAGTATTAATGATTTTTTTTTTTTTTCAGTATATCTCTCTATCTTGTTACTAAGTTGAGTTAAAGATTTCTATAAATAAATTAATAAAATTAATAAATTTGACTATACAAAAATATGTAAATTACAAAAGACAATAGTTTTATCATAATATAAATTACCCTTTTTTACTTCATTTAAATAAAAAATATTATCACTGAATACCACATAAAAAATAATTTTATTTATCTTTGACATACATTTTTTAATTTATAATAATTAATAATCATAACTAGTTTAATTAACAAACAAAATTAATTTATATTTTAGTCACTTTATATAATTATTAACTACGTTATTGATTTTTCTTTCAATTAAATGTAAATTGAAGTATAAATGTAAAACTTACACTATTATTTATTTGAATTCCCAACCATGCATTCCATTTGGCAGTAGGAGGAATCCACAAAAGAACATTGGAACTAAATTCATTTAATCGACTGGTTATTCTAGGAGCTTTGACATTCGTAGAAACATGGTTTAGAAGAAATGTCTCACCTTTTTGAATAACAGTATTTTTCTATTTATAAACAAAATTATTTTATTTATTTATGTTAATATTATTATAACTTATAATAATCTCATGAATGATTAAAAACTTACATTAATCATAAGTCTAATATTAAGATCTTTCAATAAACAATAAACATCATTCACCAAATCGTTATTGACACAGACATCAAAGAAATTAAAGATAGATTTTTCGTTTTTTTTCTGAGAAGTCAAACAATGTTTAATTAGACCTAAAGCATATAGTTTTCTGACCAAAGAAAGTTCACATTTTTCAGTAGCTGACTTTTGAGATACATCAGTTTTATAAACAGTAATAGCTAAAATAGAAATGTACTCAATAAAAAAGGTAACTAAAAATAGGTAACTAACAAATCAATAAAATTACTTTTCTTTAATTCCTCAATAAATATTGACATCTTAACAATGTAATACCTAAAAAGTTTAATATATGATTAAAATGAATAAAATACATAAAAATATTTATAGCGAAAAAAAATTATAAATGTATTTACTTTCCATTTACTGTACAATTTGTTGTATAACAATTTTTTTCATGAGATTTAATGTATGTCTTCAATCTATTTTTAGCTTCAATAATAGTCCAATTACTTTGAACGAGGTTCTTATCAACATTTTTGGACTAAAAAGTAAATACAAAATATAAATTAAATAGTTAGGTGAAATTTAAATAAAATCTCGCAATATTCTTATATTTACCTCGTTAATTTCAGGTAATGGATTTATTTTTGAGTCTTTAGCATTTTTTTTAATTTTCTAATAAAATAAACATATATCATTATGTAAATATATTAAACATCGGTACAAATGAAATTAAAATTATTTTAATACCTCTAGAATGGAAGATGTTTCTAATTTTAATTCTTTTTGATGTACTAAAAATAATAGAAAATCAGAAGTTGCTTTTTTTTTTGCAGATTTAACAGTTTTTGAGTGTCCATGGCCTATATATTTATACCCAGGTATCATGAGCTCACATATTACCATGTGATCTAGTTGTCTTACTAATAGATCAAAATTAAATCAATAAATACATTTTTTAAAAGATGAAATAAATTAAACTGGTTTATGATACATGCATATATATATATATATATATATATATAATTTACACATTATATGTAATTAAACATGAAAATAAAATTTAACATCAAGCGCATTCAACACAACGTATACAATTAAAATTCAATATGATATATATTAAAACATACTTAAAATAAAAAGATTAATATCAATTCATTACAGGCATGTTTTTTTTTTACATAAAATATCAATATTCATTTCTACATACAATATATATATGAATATATTGATATTGTTTGACATTTTAATTTAGTAACTGGCAAATAAACCTAAAAAAGTAAAATAATGGTAAAAAGTAATGAAATTGGTACTATTTTATTTTAGACAATGTTTTCCAAATACATACTTTATTTCATGTAACTTTCAGATACTTCAAAAGTGAAATTATAATTTTTAATATTTATGGAATTTTTTGGTCATTTTGTTAGTTTTAGTACATATTTATTAATTTTACATATTACCTTATTATAATTTAATTAATGTAAAATATTTTCTAAAGATAACTTATAAATTACACATTTTTAATTAATTATCGCTGAACGGATAAGTCAAATTTTTTTTTTTTTTAATATTTCTTTTCTTGTCTGTAAATTTAAATTTAAATACTTAATAATAACAATTAACTTGATAAAAAAAAATATAGGTTATTGTTAGTTATTTATTAAAACATTTTTTACTAATCTTAGGTCACTTAAATGTATGCCCTGATAGTGACTAATATATACCCATATAAAGTATCCACAACACCACTTTTACATTTAATATTATTAATCATTGATTATTGATTTTTTTTTTTTTTTAATAATGTAAGGTATACTACAACACAATATAGAACTGTAATTTAACTTTGGTTATTAAGAACCTCTACAATCAAAACATATAATTTGGGTTTTTAAATGAACAAATTGCGGTAATGGGCCTCAATGGCCTTTAAAATACCGAAGAAGAAGATAATGAACAAATAGTTTATTTGTAGAAATAAATAAATGCTTAGCCTGTAGTATTATAACTATAATAGAGTATTACAATTTATAATAATACTATTCCTTTGTAAAGTACTATTATTTACATAATATTATTTTAGTAAGATTATTTTCAGTACTATTTTAATGCATTTATTGTTTAAGAAAAATGTTAAGTCAGTTATTATCATATCATATTTCATATTTAACATAATGCTATGAAGGCATAATATGATATTCAACTTATTCCAAACAAGCACCAAATTGAAGAATAATTAAAAATTCAATAATTCCTAAGTTAAATATTTTATACATCAGTATATTATATTATCTACTGAACATGGTCGGAATATGTCAATCAGGGCTTCTTTTAAGGGTTTTTTTTAGAAATTCGCAAAACTTAAAACTCAACCCCCACCTCATATTCAAAAATATTACTCTCTATGTATAAGCCCCGCTGCGGTCGTGTAATAATATTGTGATAATAAAATAATAATAATAACAGTCTTAATAAACCTAATCTGATGATTAACAGACTCTCTAACTGCACTAGGCCATGAAGTCGATAACTACATTTTATTATTGTGAGAAATTTTATTTATAGATAGTATTTACAACTGCGCATTTTTCATTTAGGGTTAAACAAAATGTATTCAAATGCACGTTAAAATAAGTCCCAATGTCAATATATCTAATACACTAGTATCAAAATGTATGTATTATGAGTATATAACAAATTATTAAATAGTATTTGAATAAATAAGATTAAATAAGAATGTGTGTATGTGTGCAAGTGTGTGTTTATTATAAATAGGCAAATATATATTTTCTAAAAATCATTCCGATTACATAAATAATAGAAAAAAAATTATAATAAATGATGTCGTTATTATAATTATTTATTTATTATTTAAAGCTAATTATTGTTTATCATAATATGATGAATCATAACATTTATCATAACATGTGAATCATTTGTTTTCGTATGAATTTAATTACGTTAATTTTGTTTCACAAAATAAAATTCACATGATATTGTAGTTCTAGTACACAACTAACACACCGCATTTCAATATTTTTAAATCACTGACGGCATAGTTAGCTGTAATCGAATAAAACGCACGACATCTAAACAAATATAATGTAGTTAATATATACGTGTTATATAAATTGAATAGGTACCCGAAAATTTGAACTGAGGTTTCAAGTTTTTTTTCGAACACCATCGAGCCAGTGTTGTAGCAGGATTGTCGGTCTTGGCCGAGACGATTGTATCTGCGGTAGTTAAATTGGCCATGCTTGACGTTAAACGGCGAACACCGTCCATCATTAATACGACTGCAGATCAAACGTGCACAACGCGCTAAAATCTACGACGTCCGCGGAGGCCGTGTGGGTTGTTAATCACCTCGAGACAGACAAGACCTGTAAAAAAAATTGACTGTAATAATTAGAACAACGACGACGACGAACAATATTCGTGGACGCGCCCCGGTTACGAGATGTATTGCCGAGACGCCGGGGTTCATCCGATCGTGACACACGTCTTGTTCGTACCGGGTAGAAGTACTGTACAACGCAGTTGTTGTTGTCTCTCGATTTCGGCGACGGGAACGGGTTGAGCGCGTGAACCCGACGAAATCGAACAGCCGGATGCAAACACGAACGTGTGAACGGAGCAGCGGGTGCGCGAAAACACGCGGCGGGACGGCGCGAAAACGAAGAACTAACGGCGACGCGCGGCCGACGACAAATGACGGTTGCCAGACTGCGACGATTGCGTTCGCGACAGATTTTCCAGACACTCGGGTGTGTTCGGATTTATGACAGCTACCGCGACTGTATGATAATCGACATGGCCGAAAGACGCGGTACGACGTTTGCGGCCATTGTTCTCCGTCGGTGAGTACCGAAAATACCCACGTCCAACGCGGCCTGAAATAGAATACGTTTCCATTTGGGAGATCGTCGATCGGTTCGTTCGGTATCTATCGCGGACGGCCGATACCCCGCGGAACGTATACCTTGACATTTGTCGGTTAACAATCGTTTTGTTCCGCGGACGATGATGCGCACAACATGCCGCGTTTTCGTATTTGTTTATCAACGCTAGGGTCATCACATCGTTTTCTCCGACGAATGGCTACGAACAGAGGACGATGGAAACGTGCAGTTTTGCGTGTACCAGTAGTTGAGCCCTGTGTCCAACGTGAACGCGGCAAACTCGGATTTGCGACGTATAAAATATATGAATACTTAATTATTTACATTTGGAGGGGCTGGAGACATATTTCGTCGCCCCCCCCCTCTGTATTTTCGATATTACTCGACTACTGGTGTAATTTATTAGAAATTTAATAGAAATGTTCAAGAATTCCTTTGGTGTTAGCCGCGTTCACGTTAGACACGGCGTTATTCCCGTCACTCGCCAGCGTCTCTTATCGGGTGTCGAACAGTCGCCAGACAACCAGAGATTGTTGTAACAGCGTCGCATTTAGAATATAATATATTCTAAATGCGCCACTGTTACGTAAATTAATAAATAATGTTATAACATGGTCATAGGCGCAACTAGAACCCAAATATTGGGGGTGCTGAAATTGCTGAAAATTAAATTAAATGATATTTAACTGTAATTACTATAGTTTATATAGATCTGAAAAAAAAAACAAGAGTGCTACATTTGAACTCAGGGGTGCTAAAAACTCTTTTACGGCCCCCTAGTTGCGCCTATGGCACCCCGGGATGAAATTATTTTATTCCCCCCCCCCTTAAACCAACTTGTCGCTACTCTTTATAATCTCAGACCAGGGCCGAAATAAGAAATTTCGATTTTAATTTCAATATTTACTAATAACTATTATGTATTCATTGTATTATCCTTATTATTAATATTATTCTAGGATCAAAACCCTAAATTTATATTCATATTGAAGTACCTCCTATGGGAGGCCTCTTCTTTCAGTCTCTTCCGTCTATTTTTTTTTATCTATTACCACTTAAGCTTATTGTTTTAATTGTAACAGATAATAAAGAATTAATAAAGAATTTTGTTAAAAAAAAAAAAAATTCAATATTAATTATTGATATAAGTTTTTCTTAATTTCGATTTTGGTTTCAAATATTAATACTTGTTTTTTGCAATTTCATTTTTGATTTCGAATATCAATATTCATTTTTTTCATTATCGGTTTCAGAAATCGGTATTTATTTTTTTTCGATTTCGGGTTCACAACAGAATGTTATCCATGACTAAGGTGACCATACGTCCCGTTGTCTCCAGGAAAATTTTTGGGACACTAAAAGGTCCTGTTTTTAAAAAAATAGTAAAAATAACTTTCATTATAAGTAATAATTAAAATAATTTTAATCTGCCGATGAATTATTGTTTCTACCAGTATTATAATTAACTATTATGAGCGCATGTAACGTGTATATACTGAATTACTGTATGGATGACGAACGGAAACGGGACTATGTGGTGTATCGGAATATAACTACACTAATAAAATATAAAAAAACCTATTGCGGCGAACGATGTATCAATATAGACGTAATGTGTTATAATTAGGTTTCGGAAATTATAGGAGCCTGTTAAATTATTGCATTGAACCATAAATATTCTCGTTAAATTCATAGTAAACATTAAACAATAACAATAAATAACCACGAAAAATAATATTGAGTTTTATATGATACATGTTTTCCGCTTTATAAGCGTTGGGTTATGTAACATTATTTATTCGGGGGGGGGGGGGGTACAACCCCTTAACCCCTCCCCCCTGCGTGTGCCACTGTTTTCTTTAACGCCTTTTCTTTAAAGTATATAGAGTCCCCCTTCTTTAATTTTGCCAAATCAAGCACTTAAGATAATGACTAACATTATCAGCCGATAATCGGAATATAATAAACAAATGAGAGTAAAAATAAATTAAAATGCCGATACCAACGCGTAGTGGTGTGGTTACATAGAAAATAATTCGCTGAAAACAATTTAATTGGTAATGTGCACAGAAACGAATGTGCACATCAATTCCATTATAATCAGTGCCGCAACTACACACTATGGGGCTGGTATACAAATCTGAATTTGGGGCCTAAATATTTTTTCAAAAAAATATTTACCTACTATAAATAAAATATGTTAACCGGTGTTTATATTACATGAACAGTGGTCGAAATGGCTCAAGATAAGTGGAGGGATGCCTTACAATTCAAATTTCCTGATATCATCATAACATTCTTCACATCTTGTGTACCTATAATATATTTATTTATTTTTTTATAGTTCACATTAGGTATATTATCTTAGTACGTGGCTCCGTATTATACGAGTATAATACGGGTTACAAAATGGCTTAAGGTACGGTTTCCAAGCTGCGGCTGGCCGCAACGATCAGCCGCAACGATCAGCCGTAACGACTAAACGTTGCGTGCCGACTGGTTTCCTAAATACGACTAGACGTTGCGGCCGGAGTTCATTTTACCCTAATATTGTGTAGAGTACATACGTGTTTTTTGGTAAATAATTTATTTATTATACTAGTTTTGTTGTTAATTGTTAGTTTGTGACGGAAGAAGTTATTGATAATATAATATAATATCTTTATGTATTCGTGGGAGCAATCATATAATACGGATTGCTTCTCAACTTCTTCCACCAAAACTTCATCATTGTTCGACGAAAATGTAGATTTTGACATAGTTTTTAATTAAAATGCAAAAAATACAATAAAACACTATATGACACGCACCACGACTCACGCAATGTACTGCTACCAGACCACTATAGCCGCGAGCCGCAACGACTATTTAAATCACGCAATCGTCGATCGCACGTTGGAAACCACGCTCCGCAATTTTAAATAGCACAGTCAGACTACGTGTGCCGTTGCGGCTAGCCGCTGCGGCCAGCCGCAGCTTGGAAACCGTACCTTTATACTAAACAACACGATAAGCCGGGCAGCCTGGCCTGAATGTTAAAAACAATTATTTTCACCAAAAAAAAATTTCTTATATATAAATAAGAAAATGATAATAAGTATATAATTTTAAAATACAAGTCTTATGAGGAATGCGTTATTCTAGACAAAATAAGTAGAGGGATGAAAACTGTAAATACAAAAAAGTAGAGGGATGCCATCCCTCCGTATCCTCCCTACTTGGTGGATCTTTAATTTTAAATGACCTGCATTGTTTTCTGTTATTTCTGTTCTAAGAATTAGTATTACCGTAGGATTATAAATACTTTAGTAATATAATAGTATTTATAATCAATGGTATTGCATTTGGTCATTGGCAATGAGTTCGTAGCTGGGTAAATTATTTGATTATAAATATTTAATATGATAAATCTGTTTTTTATATTTATCAATTTACTTCAGTTAAAATGTCTACAACCAAATCCATAATAATACATCGTGTGGGGCCTATAAGGCCCGGTGCATACGTCCGTTTTTTGCCGCTGCGGCACCGCAAATACGGCGTAATTAATATGTAATCAAATCGTGCAGTGTACATGCCATGCGGAGCCTCTGCGTCGCCGTTGCGTTCAGTGTCTGTCGCAGATAACAACGTCGCCGCTACGGCATCGAGCACACAAATCCGGTTTAGTAGTGCTTTATTGTATATAGACACATGCACACGTGCGATTTTTCCACGCAACATGTGCATAATCGACAATGTTGGCATTGAGCTCTTCATCGGCAAAGTTAAAAAATACAAAGTGATAGGTAGCGGTATAGAGAGTCTCATACACGTGTCTTGAAAAATTATCTTTGGTGTTACTTTCGTTGCTAGTTCGTCAAACGAACGAACACTCATTCGAAAATAAGTAAAACACTTTTATGGAATCTCTCTTATATCGCTAAATGTGGTGTAAAATGCATCTCTTAATAATCTTGCATCTGTAAATGGGTACACTCAGTAACGTCTATTATACGTCCATACACATTTTTTGTGCATTGAGTAAGCAAAAATTGCCTTTTTTTTTTATAATAAACCTCCATAATTGGTGACTGAATGGCAACTAAAGTGATATTCCACTACGAATACCGTCTTAGGTATCTGGGTGACGAGCGGTTACCGCAACAAAAACGCAATGGTGTATATTCAACAACTGCAGTGCTGCAGTTTGCCGTTTTTTGCAAACGGACGTGTGCACCGGGCCTAACGGTTTGGGGGCCGATGTGCAATGCATACCTTGCACACCGGTAGTAACGGCATTGATTATAACGCGTGTTGCGTGTTTCGACTTGTTTTAATTTTTACATTGTACAAATGTGCACAGCAATAGTGTGCACTACTGCACCAGTATAACACTGATACCGTTCCGTCGCGGACAACCGCCTGCCCGTTTGGCCTTCGGAAACCCCATCTAAATATTATATTATTTTCATAATATTCTGAATTTATGTTTTTATATTTTGAAAAATCATCTTAATAACACTACAGCTATTTAGTTGTATTATTATGGTTTATTTTTTCAATTTTTTTTTGAGTTTGGGTAGGTAGTGCACGTGCCCTTATACACGAACCGCCACTGACAACATTAAACAAAAAATTTAAGTTATATTTATTTAATTATTTATATATAATAATTTATTAAATATACTTACACGTTTTGTTAAGATAGGGCCCAAAAGTATTGTAGGCACCCCTGAAATACAGGTTTGCACATGCCTATGCATGCATCCATATGTCTGTCAAGACCGAGTTATTTATCCTCTATTGTGTCCATATTTTTTCATATTTGTATATAAAGTTATAATAAAATATATAATTCAACGCAATAAAAAACCGTTTCAGTACTAAGGTCAGCATAATATATATAAACACTATTAATAATCAATATCCAACGAGATTATATATAAATGTATATATATATATGTTACATTTTGTTTTTTTTAAGTATACACAATCTATACAATTATTTACAATAAGTCTTTGTGATATGTATAATATATTAAATTATTTTAATGAATGACATGATTGTTTGAGTAAAAAACAACTACACAGCAATGACATTATAACTTATGTACTGATTTTTAAATACAAAAGAAATTTTATTTTTATTAATTAATTACATTTTTTTTCATTTTTTTTTTCGCTGGTCAATTTTGATTAAAGTTATCTATGCCGTTTTCTTCGAAGCCTTATTGTAAGACTGCTTAATATGTTATCGTTTTCAATGTCATTACGAAGGATAAAATTATATTTGTGTTTTGCTAGACATGAACACTAACAGTGCCGGCGGGAGATTTTGCGGGGCCCAGGGCAGATTTTTTTCATGGGCCCAATACAAATTAAAGAAGAAAAATAC